CCATAATATTTGGCCAGAGTATGAGTCAAGCCCGGATTTGGTTGGCCCCACCATTTAACTGGTGGAGTTTAAAAGCCATGAATCTCAAGGGCGCCTGGGTGGCTCAGTTGGTTGAGCATCCCATCCAACTCTTGGTTTCAGCTCAGGTCATGATCTCACTGTTCATGAGTTTGAGCCCCGAATTGGGTTCTCTCAAGGGAGCCTGCTTGAGAGTCTCTGTCTCCCTCTCTCTCTCTGCCCCTCCCCGACTCACGCTCTCTCTCAAAATAAATAAATAAACTTAAAAAAAGTAAAAGCCAGGAATCTCAGAGTCACAGAATTATACCAGGGATCCTCAGCAAGTTCTAAGAATGCAGACGAAAGATCCCTCATGAGGGGAGCCATCCACAGCCAGGAGTCCGAGCAAACAACCTGTCCTCCCTGGTCAGGGAGGCAGGTGTCTACCTCTCCCATCCCTATCCGCGCCTGTTCTCTCTCAGGATTCAGCATGAGGGAACTCCCTTTCCTTCTGGAAATGCCTGGAGCTGCTGGCCCCAGCACCCAAAGTATCTGTTGATTATTGAAGATCCCAAAGTCACTACTGAAGCTCTTTTAGCACATTGCATCCTAGGATAATGATACTTCTCTGAACTTTAGTTCCTTTCTCCGTCAACTTGGGAATTTGGTCAGCTTTGGCAATGCCAGATCTTCCAGAACAGCCCTGTTCAACACAACTCCCTACAATGATGGAAATGTTCTTCTGTCCAATATGGCAGCCACTAGCCACATGTGGCTCTTGGCCCTCTACGTGTGGTCTAATGTGACTGAGGAATTAAATTGTTAATTTTACACACGTTGGATAGATTTCAGTTTATCACTTGCATTTTATTTCAAGTAGGCCCCACACCCAATGTGGAGCTTGAACTCATGACCCTGAGTCTCATGCCCTACTGACTGAGCCAGACATACCCCAAATAGATTTCAATTTAAATAGCCATGGGTGGCTAGTGGGTATCATATTGGATGCTACAGTTCTAGAATTAGTATTAAGATAATTTCTGGGTCCCACAAAATACAGGAGTCTATTCTGTATTACCAGTAATATCACTATAGTAACAAATAGGACACCCCAGGATGGCTTGAGGGGTTATTAACCCTTCCACACTTAGATCAGCCATCCAGCAAAGCCAGGGGAAGTGGGTCAGGTGGGTGAGGGACAGGTGTAAATATTCTAAAAACAAGCCAAAAAGCAATGCTCGCCATGTAAACAAGCTTCAAAACTAATTGCCTGGGGGTGCCTGGGTCGTTCAGTCAGTTGACCATCAGACTCTTGATTTCGGCTCCGGTCAAGATCTCATGGTTCATGGGATCGATGCCCGCCTCCACCTCTGCATTGACAGCCTGGAGTCTGCTTGGGATTTTCTCTCTCTCTCTCTCTCTCTCTCTCTTTCTCCCCTGGTCTCTTTCACCTGCATGCACCTGCATGCTCTCTCTCTCAAAATAAACATTTTTTATAAAAAAGCTATTTCCTGGCTGGCATGCATGAGTACATGATGCCCTGAATCTTCCTCTATCAGCATTTTGTTGCCACCACCGTCTCTCACATTGGTTCCCGTGTTTTTAATTTTCCATCTTAACAAAGCCATTAATTAGCACAGCAGCTCTCTGGAGGGAATATCATGATCCCCACTTCCTAGATCAGGACACTGACGCTCAGACAGTTCAATGGCTTCTTCGAACCAGAGAAAACTGTCACTCCATACAATGAGGCTCAAGGCAACTGGCCTATCGTCCCACACTTGGAAATGATGGAAACCTGAATCTGTGACCTTCATTTGTCTTTTTTTTTTTTTTTTACTGAAGTATCATTAACATAGAATGTTATATTCCTTTCAAGGGTACAACGTATTGACTCAACGATGCCATCCATTACTAGGTGCTCCCCCTGCAGGCCACACAACGTTATTGCAGTATTATTGAGTATACTCCCCATGCTGTGCTCTCCGTCACTGTGACTCACTGATTTTATTACTGGAAGTTTGTACTTCTTCATCCTCTTTATCTGTTTCACCCATCCCCTCACCTACCTTACCTCTGGTGACCACCAGTTTTTTCTCTGTGTTTAAGAGTCTGGTTTGGGGCTTCAAATGTCCATCCACCGAAGATGTGGTGTATACAAACAATGGAATATTACTCAGAGATCAAAAAGAATGAAATCTTGCCATTTGCAATAACATGCATAGAACTGGAGTGTATTACGCTAAGCAAATTAAGTCAGTCAGAGAAAGACAAATATCATAGGATTTCACTCCTATGTGGACTTTAAGAAACTAAACAGATGAATATAGGAGAAGGGAAGCAAAAATAAGATAAAAACAGAGACAAACCATAGGAGACTGGTAAATACAGAGAACAAACTGAGGGCTGCTGGAGGGGAGGTGGGTGGGGGATGGGCTAAATGGGTGATGGGCATTAAGGAGGGCACCTATTGGGATGGGCACTGGGTGTTTTATGTAAGGGATGAATCACTGGGTTCTACTCCTGAAACCAAGACTACACTGTATGTTAACCAACTTGGATTTAAATTTTAAAAATAAATTTAAAAAAAAGAATCTGGTTTGGAGCTTGTTTTTCTGTTTGTTTGTTTCTTTGTTCATTTTCTTTGTTTTTTAAATCCTATGGTATTTGTCTTTCTCTGTCTGACTTATTTCACTGAGCATAATACCCTCCAGGACCATCTACACTGTTGCAAATGGCAAGACCCTTTTAGGCTGTCTATACCTTTGTGGCCTGCGGGTATTTACTGAACACACAAAGCAGAGAAAGGAGCTCTGGGCCTGAGCAAAGAGCAGATGGAGCCCTGGATTGACAGAAGGGAGAGAGTGTGGGCACATCACACGTGGTACTGTCGGGACCCTTTGTGGGGCTCTGTTCAACTTCACTGTGCTGTGTGACCTACAGCACATCTCTCCACCTCTCTGGGCTTTGGTTACCTTCTCTGGACAACCCAGGTGGGGTACACCAAGTGTCTCTAGGGACTCAGATGCTTAGGACTTGGGAAATTAATGGAGTGCTTGCTGCTTGCTGTATGCCTAGCACCACATTCCAGGGATATCCAGAGAGGCAGGACTTCCAGAAACTTTGTCAGTCGGTCTTCACCATCTTCAAAGTCACCTAACCTGTGGAAATGTGTGTAGAGGGGACAGACAAGGACCTGGATTCGCCATCCTGGGCCTGCCAATTCAAGCTGTGTGACCTTGAGCAGGTCACATAACCTCTCTGAACCTTAGTTAAGTCCATTATAAAGTAGGGAAACCACCACCCACCTCAGAGATCGGGGTGAGGACCACACGAGACAACTAAGCAGTGCGTGTCAGTGATATTTGTACCATGAATGTCACTTCTTTCCCCTTCCTTTTCTCAGCCAACTGAGAGAAGGAGAGCACCCACTGTCTGCCAAGAAGCTTCTCTCATCAGTCAAGACTCACTGCAGATTACTACCCAGCCCATCTCCATCCCTGATCTGTGTCTCCAAGTCCTGCTGGATGCCCCCAACATACCAAACCTGTCTGGCATGACAGGAGACAGAGATAAGAAAAAGAAACTCAGGTCACGGTGACTGGGAGTGAGGCCCTTCTCCCCAGGATCGGATCCTTGGCCAAAAGTTCCCCCTTCTGAGCCCAGACAGGCTGGAAAGCTGCTCTTCTGAAGGTTCCACCCAAAGATCCCACTCATACATCATCCTTCAAGCAGGAACAGCTCCCACAGCTACAAGAGAGAGACATCTGTCCCTCTCCTTCCCACCAACACCCAGAATGAGCCTAATTAGACCGTATCTTCTTTCAACTGCCACCGTGACCAATGCCATGAAAGCGTTCAAACAGGGTGGCTCCAAACACAGATGCCAGAAATGCCACACATTCCCTAACCCCAGGACCCGGGTGCTTTGGCCGGTGTCAAGAGACTGGAATCACACTGCAAAGACCTGTAGAGGGCAGAGGAAGATGAGATTTTTCTGGAAGGAAGTAAACATTTTCTCAAAATGGGCTAAGAGCCAAGCTAACTTTTGAAATTTTATTCCTGAATTTTGGATCTCTGATGAGAAATTATATCAGTCAGGGTCTTGGCAGGAAACAGAAACTCATTCAGCTGGTGTGTTTGAAGAGACATTTAATGAAGGGACGAGGGTGGGCACACAGGGGTGGGCAGGATTCGGAGAACCCACAGGGCATGTTGAGGGACCCAGGGACCAACCATAGCAGAAGCCAGGACCAGCCCTGAACCCAAAAGGACAGAGAGAGGAAAAGTTACTGTCAGAGTCTATTTAATTGCTAGACCCTGCAAAAGGGGCCACCTATACCCACTATAAAACCACAGCAGAGCAGAGAGGAGAAGGGTACACTCAACCAGACCCCAAACTCCTCCCTTCCCAGTGTCCAGCTGCCCCCCTGGCCAAACCCAATCAGAAGTCAAAGGTCAAGAGCCCTGCAGGTGCAGCCCAGAGTAACAGGGTCCTGAGGCACAGAGCAGGACAGGGAAGCAGTGAAGATGTACATCAACAGATGCAGAGTATCCAAGGCAGAAGAAAAAGCTTGTGGTACCATGTGTCAACACTTGCGCATGGAAGCTAAGTAACACCGAACAAAATTCCCTTCTTTTCCTTGACCTCGGTATCTGTGTCTATAAATGGCATATTGTACAATTTAGAAAATTAGAAACCATGTTTACAGAGCACTTGGCGTGGAAGAGTCAGATACTCAGTGACGTGGAGATGGTTGGAAACTCACAGGCCCTGGGCTCAGATACCTGGGTTTCCTATCCTGGCTCTATCAGTCCCCTGTCGTGTGACTTTGGGAAAGCAACTTATCTGAACAAGCGCATCACCTTCTAAACAGGTGTTGTAAGAACACCTGCTTCAAAGGGTGATGTATGTAAAGTGTTTAGCACAGTGCCTAACACAGAGAGTGCCAATCAATTGTTGACATTGCTTTTCTCGTTGATGAAAATTGAGGAAAAAGTACCTTTCAGGTATGGCTGGAGGCATGTATTTCCCTCCTCTTGACTTTTCAGGGGCTGCTGAACTTGAATTTCAGTGGTCTCCATTCGGCAGAGCCTCTTTCATGCTTGTGATTCTTTCCAAGCTCAGACTCACAAGCCTCAGGAAAGACAGACCTTCCCACAGACTTGGCTCCCACCCTCCACAATCCGGCTGCTCCTCTACCCAGAGAGGAGAGCTACACTCAGCTGACAGATTGTGGAAGGAGGCCCAGCTAGAGGAAAGGACGCTTGTCCCCCCTCTGTGTCCTACGACAGAGATGATGATTTCCCTAAGTCACGATGAAGCTGGAGACACGGCCCAGAAAACCTGGGCTTTGACAATCCTTTTCCAGTTGAAGGAATCGGTGTGCTCTGACCCAGGCTCACATCTCAGCTGTGAGCAGCCAGAGGACTGGGGTGTCCTTACCCAACTTGCTGCCCCAGCACCTGGCACAGGGCCTTGGTGATACACTTGACCACCCACAATGTGCCAGACCCTGGTTGTACTTCAACAGACAAAGCAGACACATCATGGCCTCGTGATGCTTGCACACTGGCAGGAGAGCGAGGAATTTTACAAGTACGATTTTTACAAATGATACAGCTGTTATGGAAGGTAATATAGGAGATCTCTGCTGATTAAGATACACAAGGTTGCAAAGGACCATTTTCCCCCATGATTAACAGAAAAAAAATCAGATAAACTAGATAGCATATGTTTCTTTAAAATCGCCAGAGTGGTGGATGCAACAACGTTTAAAGGAACCAAATTCCAGAGAGAGACAAGCACTTAATCACTGAGGAAACAGCACCCGCCATCCTCATACCTAGTGTCTGTGACCCAATCTGGGTATGTGCAGGCAGAGCACGAGGCTTGCCATATAGGCAGAGGAACTTTGCTGAAACAAGGATAAACCAGCACACTTTTGGCAACAATGTGGGCTGGCATGACAGATTGGAATCTAGAAGAGTCCAAATGCAATAATAAATCTCTTGGGCAAACAGTTCTCTCCCACATGAATTGAATAAGCAGCTGTGGGGGTGGAACTGGAAAGCAGGCATGGATATTGCCATTTTGTACAGTGCTTGGGATGAATCTAGAGATGACCTAAAACTAACTAAGGCTGTAAACCAAAACCCTGCTAGCCCTGATCCTAATAAGATCAAAGAACCAGTCTCTTAGCATGGAAAGTTCAATATCGGGACAAAAGACGAAGAGAGAACTCTGCTGTCTCCTTTGGACCACAAGTAAACTAAATTAAACTAATTGGGTTTCATGTCAGCCCAGCTCAGCTTCATCATTATGGGATCTGAATGATCACCTCTCACCCTAGCTTCCCAACAGGGAAAAGGGAAATGTCCTCCCTATTTAAAAAAAAAAAAAAAAAGTTGTCTAATTCACTCTTTACTGTTCTTTTAATTAAAATGTCCAAAATATAATAGAAAATTACAAAACAGTGTGAAAAGGCAAGAACATGTGGCCTATAATCAAGAGAAAAGATAGCCAGATAGATAGACCCACAGAAGACCCAGACACAGAAAGGAGCAAACTAAGGACCCTAAAATAATTGTTATAAACACGTTAGAGATGTTTACAAGAAAATACATGCAGAATGAGTGGACTGGTAGGGAATTTTAGAAGCTAAAGGAGACATTTATAAAAAGAACAAATTGGAAATTCTAGATCTTGAAAATACAATATCTAAAATGGGGAATTCAGGGAATGGGCTTAACAGCAAAACTGGACTTGGCAGAAGAAACAACCAGTGAGCTCGAAGAGCAGTCAATGTAAATACCCACACTGAAGCACAGACAGAAGAAAATATGGAGGAGAGGGTGCGAGAGAGAGAGAGAGAGAGAGAGAGAGACTTGTAAAATGACATCTAATGATCTAACATATGTATAATTGAAAAAGTAAAGTAGAAATACTATCAGAATACGTAACCCATATGCATGCTCACATCTTAGGTCTTTAAATGTGTTGTTCCCCAAGGGGTGCCTGGGTGGCTCAGTCGGTTAAGCATCCGACTTCAGCTCAGGTCACAATCTTGCGGTTCGTGAGTTGAAGCCCCACATTGGGCTCTGTGCTGTCAGTTCAGAGCCTGGAGCCTGCTTCAGATTCTGTGTCTCCTTCTCTCTCTGCCCCTCCCCCACTTGTGCTCTGTCTCACTCTGTCTCTCAAAAATAAATAAATGTAATAAATAAATAAATAAATAAATAAATAAATAAATAAATATTTTGTTCCCTGTGCTTAGGGCTCAGAAATCCACATAGGTCATCTCATCACATCCCTCAGGGTTTTGCTCAAATGTTTCCATCAGTGAGGTGTCCCCTGACCACCCTATAAAAAAATCTACATTCACCTACTCTCCCATTCATAGCTGGAATTTCTCCTCCCCCTACTTGCTTATTTTCTTTAGCTCCTGTTACCATTAACAAACTATATATTTTATTTATCTTTTTATTTACTTCTCTCATCTGCTTGAATATATGTTTCCTGAGGGCAAGTGTTTTCATCTGTTTTGTTCACTGTTGAATTTCCAACACCTAGAACATAATAGGTACTCAATAAATATTACTGATAAAATAATAGTGAGATTTAAGCCTACTCAAAATTGAAAGAAGGCATAAAGAAAGAGCTTTGGGCTGTAAGTGTAAAGATGAGTGTATTAGACAGGTCTCCCTTAAATATAAGTGACAGAGATCTAACTCAAAATGGCCTTAGCAAAATAGATAATGTACTGGGTTGTGTGACTGAAAGGTATATAGTTTCATGCTTTAGGCATGACTACATCTAGTTGCTGAAATGATATTGCGAGAAATGGTCTATCTTTGTCTCTGGTTCTGCTTTCCCCTGTCTGAGTTTCATTCTCAACCAGGCTTTCTCCAGCAGGCAGTAAAGAAGGACCCAGAAACTCCAGTTCTGTGTGCTTTTAACTTAACCACTCAATGAAAAGAAACCTTTTTCCCTAGTAGTTCCAGGAAAAATCCCAGTGCTTTGCTTGTTGGCAAGGCTTGAGTCATAGTCATTTCTGAACAAACTCACTGTGGTCAGGGAGATAGAGAGCACCGATTGCTCAGGTCTTGGTCATGTGACCACCCTTGGAATTGGGGCATGGGCTCCTGCCTATCAAACCATATGGCCTAAGAACAGGGGCAACTCCAAGGAAAATCAATATGCAATCGCTTGAAGAAAGAAGAAATGCAGGGTAGATAAAAGCTCATGTCTATTTATGTACATATCATCTTGAGTGCAGGATAGGGCAAGCAAGAGTGTACCAAGAGAATGTTTGAGGCCAGGGAGACCGTGAAGCATTCCAGGAAAAAAAAAATAAGTTCTATTCAGTTGGAAAGAGCAAGGAAGGAGTGGTTGGAAAAGGAGGAGTTAGTTAAACAGAGGCTTAACCTTGCAGAGCCTTTTAAACCAAATCTAGAAGTTTTGATTTAATACTAAAAGCAAAGGGAAGCCTTTGAAACATTCCAAGCAGGAGATGTAAATGTTAACCTGTTTTAAAGACATCCCATTAACTACCCTACTTAGAATGGATCAGACAGGAATAAGACTGGAGCCAGCCACCTATTAGATGTGACCACTGTCCAGAAGAGGGAGATGATGGAGATCTATGAAGGGGACAATGGGGACAGAGAAAGTAGCAATATCTGAGAGACAATTTGGAGATACAACTCAAACATTCTCTAAACTGATTAGGATTTATCAATGGCTTTCAAAGACTTGCCTGGAACATCACTCAGCTGTCTGCCACTTCTCTGCTCTTCCTCCAGGGTTATAAGAAGTCCTAGTAGGAAGGTAATGTTCCCATCTCCTTCCCTTCCTCTCTCCTCTGCTAACCTCACTCCAGGGCAGATCCAGGCAAGTTTTTCCAGCAGTGAGCCCCTGCTGTGAAATCACATGTACGTGAGCTGTATAAATCTGTGTGGATAATAAAGGTAAGTGAAGAGAGCTCATGCTGGCACCACCTGGGGCAAGCACATTGCCCTAGAGTCAAACAGAGCCAGGTTTTATTCCTGCCTTTGCCACTTATTAGCTGTGTGCCCTTGAGCAAGTTACTTAACCTCTCTGAACCTCAACTTCCTCATGTGGAAAAGGAATATAGGACATTAGCTCACAGAGCAGTTATGAGATTTAAATGATTTTGTGCGTCTGAAGGCCAAGAATAGTGCCTGGCACACAAAGTGAACTCCACTGAGATGGGTTCCGTTTCCCTCCCCATCCTTCTTCCTTAGGTGCCTAAGGACCTATTTTCACCTATTTCCCTTTTTGACAGCCATCCTTCATCATGCCCCAGTTTTATGATATAATTTTGATAAATTAAGTTTAAATACTTGAGAGTCATCTAATTCACTGTGTACAGCTTCAATGACAATTACTAAATGTCCCAAGCCTCTTGGCAGGACACTACGGCTGTTGTGTAGCCTCGGGGTATTGATTAGGTCCTACCGGACCACGAGTTCATATGTCTGGACTAATAAGGAGGAAATGGCACTTGGCAAATAGAAGTTAATATACCTCTTTAATTGTTTGGGGCACTGGTTAGACTCCTAGACATTAAAAAATTACTTTCATTCCCCCAGAAACAGGCAGCTCCCCATTACCCACTTATACACAGTACCTACTCAGTGTTAGTCATCCCCACTGCAGCTGGTAGTTACAAAGTTCAGGGGAAATGAGAAAAAAAAAAATAACTCAAAACCCTTGGGTATGAGTATAACCTGTGACTTGCTTCCAACCAGTGGAATACAGCAAAAGTGATACGTGTTTACATACAACTGTTTCTGTGATTATGTTGCATTAGATTAGCACCCATCTTGGTGGAATCTGTCACTCTCCTGCTGGTTTTGAGCAAGCAAACAGCCATTTTCGGGCATGCCATGTGTCAAGGGACTATAGGCAGGCTCTAGGAGCTAAGCGCAGCCTTTACCAAGAGCCATCAAGAAACAGAAGCCCCCAGTCTCATAGCTCAAAACACTGAAATCTACCAAGAGCTGTACTAGTTTGGAAGTGAACCCTTCCTCCATCAAGCATCCAAATGAGAACCCAGCCCTGCTATGACCTTCATTACAATCTCCCAAAAGACCCACCTGAGCCATGTCCAGACTCCTAACCCATAGAAACTGTGAGATCATAAATGTGAGTTATTTTAAGCCACAAGTTTAATAGTAATACTATTACACAGCCATAGAAAACTGATATATATGGTAAGT